TTGCTGCTTTGCTGCTGTTTCCCTAGGGAAGGCTTTTTGTGCAGCTCAGAGTTTAATGGTTGACCTTATAGGTACTTCCAGCTCTGCAGAGACTGAGTGGATCTGTGTTGTGTAGAATCTCTGATCTGGGCCTGAGTTTTTCCATCAGACCGTACCCTATGCAATTCTCCATTCCTGATCAGTCTCTTCTGAGTGGTCCTGTGCTGATTGGGGGGCAGGTTGGCTGTCCTTGCTGTGTCCCAGTGTTCTCCAGGTGGGCCTGTCTACCCCACCACCTGTGCTCCAAACACTTCCCATGGGACGGGCCTTGTGCTGGTCCCTTGCAATGACTCACTGGCCTCTGAATGTCTCCCTTTTTTCAGTTGTTCTGGCTCCTCGCTCTTGCGTGGGTCCACGGGAACACTATTAGTGGCATTGCTGTCCTTGGAGCGACCAAGGCCCTCTTCTCCCCTGCTGCCTCCAAGTAACTCCATCTGAAGGGCACAGCTGTGGCTTCTGCCTGCTCCTGCTCCATGTGCACATCAGCTCAAGCTTTAAAGCAGCTGTGGGCTCAGAGTAGTCTTTTCTTTCTGTCATTGTGGTTTCTTCCACCTTCATGAACTCCATAGGTCTCTTCTCCTCTTCCTCTGAGCTCCAGCAGCCCCAGCTTGGCTAATGTTACATTTTTACAGTCTTATATAAGTTGGTTGATTTGTGGGAGAGAATGAAGCTGGGAACCGTCTATTCCACCATCTTGACTGGGACACAACAATCTTACAATCCTACTCAACAATCCCCTTGGATTTCTTTAACATTGGATGGCCAGAGTAAATGTTTTGGAACTAAAATTATGCTGAAGCCACTCCCTGCTTAATCCCTTTTTAGAAAGGTTGTAGTAAAACACACATAATATAAGATTTACCATCTTAACCTTTCTTAAAATGTGTAGTTCAGTAGTGTTAAGTATATTCCTGTTATTGCTCAGCCAATCTCCGGAACTTTTCCATCTTGCAAAACTGAACTCTATACCACTTAAACAACAACTACTAGAGGAAAACATAGGGGAAAAACTATAAGAAATTGGTCTGAGCAGTGAATTTTGAGATTTGACCCCAATGGCACAAGCAACAAAGGCAAAGATAGACAAATTGGATTACCTCAAAGTAAAACACTGAGGTTTCTCAAACCACTATAGATAGAACTACCATGCGATCCAGCCATCCCACTTCTGGGTATATATCCAAAGGAATGGAGATCATTATGTTGGAGGGATACCTGCACTCCCATGTTCATTACAGCTCTGTTTACAATAGCCAAGCTATGTAACCAACATAAATGTCCATCAATGGATAACTGGATAAGGAAAACATGGTATATTTACAGAACAGAATACTAGCCAGCCATAAAAAAGAATGAAATTTTTCCATTTGCAGCAACATGGATGAGCTTGGAGAAAATTATGCTAAGTGAAATAAGCCAGGCAGGGAAAGAGAAATACTGTATGTCCCCCTCCTAAGTGGGAGGAAAGAAAAGAAAAGAAAAGAAAAGAAA